CTCCCCTCCTCCTTCCCCCTCCCCCTCCCCCTCCCCCTTTCCCTTCTCTCCCTCCTCCTCCTCCTCCTCCTCCCCTTTTCCTCCTCCTCCTCCTCCTCCTCCTCCTCCTCTTCCTCCTCCTCCTCCTCCTCCTCTTCCTCCTCCTTGCCCCCTTTCGTGCGGGTTGGCTCTACAGCGCACGTGCGCATCTCAGCGCGCACCGCAGAATGGTCGATTGAATCGGTCCACTCGGTTCTCGGACGGCCAATTTAGCTGGAGCCCCCTGGACGCAAGTAGGGGGACTCAGGGTGATGCGGGCGGACTCGGGAGGACTCGTAGATTCCAACGGCGCTCGCTTGTCCATAAGGATTCATTTCTATTTCTCTCAATGGAATCCACAAGCGCCCCATTTTGTCAGAAGGCTTCTTTCTTACAGTATATACATATATTTACATACATATATATAATATGTATATAAAAACAACAGTGGTGCTGTGTGCCCGCAGGCACGGTGGCACAGACTGACGGTGCGTTGCACGCAGGCGCTGTGGTGCACGCGAGCACTGTGGTGTGCACAAGCGTTGTGGTGCATATCGCCACCTACATGCTGGTGCTGCCCGTCCTCCGCCATTCCTAAACATTCCCAGACAGACGCCACCGGCGCGAGACGTGACGTCATCCACCCCCTCCCCCGCCAAATGATTGCTGTTATCGGCCCGGAATCACAAAAGCGCTCCGGCCGCGTCCGCGCGCGCGACGACGATGAGCGACGAGCGACGAGCGACAAGCGACGAGGCCGACGCCGACGCCGACGCCGACGCCGACGACGACCGCGGACCAGACTCCTATGCGGATTCCTACGCGGACGCCTACGCGGATCCGAACTCGCACGGCGGCAGCACCCGGAGCAGCACCCAGAGCGCACTGGGGGGGGGGGGAGCGAGGGCCATGACACCCGTCACGCCCCAAGCAATAAAGAAACGGGCTCCAACAAGCGGGGGCTGCCGCAGTGGCAGCGGTGGGCGCGCTGATTCTGGGGCCCCCTGCTCGGCGGGCGGGCGGGGCGACAGGATGCGCGAGTCGAGGGGCGGGACGAGGACGCCGCAAGCTGAAACCCCAGGGCTCGCCATGGGCAGCCCGGGCCGCCGGGGCGGGGCCGTCGGCTCGGTCCCAGAAGCCAGCCGGCTTGGCGGGGCAGACAAAGTCGATCCTTGGCGACAGCTCGGGCGCAACTGGGTCGATCAGGACGAACTCGGGCGTCTCTGGGGCAACAAGCTCCTTGATGTAGCGGTCGTCGATCCGCTGGTGACCTGTCCAGGCGATGAACATCAGGTCGTTCAGCATGTCGACTGCCTCGATGCTGTGCCCTATCTTGGCCGCGAGCGCCAGGCGCCGCCAGGCGGCGCGGCGTGGTCTCAACCGGCACCTCCCGTGAGCGCTGCCAGCGTGGGTCTCGTGGCCGATTAACGGCGAGCTTGGTCGCGGATGCCACGCTGTTGGCCATTGCGCCAGGCCGGCGGCGGGCGCCGCGCACGGCCATCCGCCGCCTTTCAGGCCCCACCGCCCCTGCGGAAAAGCTGGGCAGGGGAGCCCCCCCGCGATTCCCCCCTCTTGACTCGTTCCTTAGGGCGGCTTTCATCCTGGGATCGCCTCTTGACGGGCGACCCTGGGGCCAGAAGCTGGCCCCCAGAGGCCAAACATCTACGAAGCCGTGCGTCGCGACGCCTGGGCCCACCCCTCCAGAGGCATGGAAACACCCCGAAGCTCGGGGCGGACCCGGAAGCGCAAAACGAAACAGCAAACCTATCCGCCTCATCCCTCCGCAGACCCTAGAGGCGACCAGGGGGTCTGAGCTAGTGGGGCCCCGAGACCTCCTCCTCCTCCACTTCCACCTCCTCCTCCTCCTCCTCCTCCTCCTCCGCCATCCCTTCTCCTTTATAATGAACTTTTCCCTGTCGCACCCCGAAACAAGTTTTTAGGGCGGTCTGGGTGCTTCGCGTGAGAATTCCTCACCACTTACGACTCTGAAACTTAACATTTGAAAGCAGTTTCACAAATGGAGGGCGGGTGGTTTTCAAAATGTCGCTCTCGCCTTGGCGCCGCGCGCATTCGTTGTAAAAAGTTGCCAGAATTTAGGCTATTGTTCCAAATGTGGCTCTCGTCTTAACGCTGCGCACAGTCGTTCTAAACATGTGCAAGGAGCTTCACGGATTGAGGGCGGGTCGTTTTCAGAATGTGGATCTCGCTTCAGCGCCGCGCGCATTCGTTCTGGAAAATTGCAAGCGTATCACGGGTTGCGGGCGGGTCGTCTTCAACATGTAGCTCTCGCCTTAGCGCCGCGCGCAATCGTGTTTAAAGATGCCAGCGTTTCACGGATTGAGGGCGGGTGGTTTCCAAAATGTGGCTCTCGCCAAAGCGCCGTGCACATTCGTTTTAACAATGTGCAAGAGCTTCACGGATTGAGGGCGGCTCCTTTTCAAAATGTGACTCTCGCCTTAGCGCCGCGCGCATTCGTTCATAGAACTTGGAAGAGTTCGACGGATTCCCGTGATCAGCGCACCAGAAACAATGTTTGGGAAGGATTTGGGATTATGCGGGTGTAACAGTTGGATTGGTTCGCGGTGTCGAAGTCACAAACATTGCGTTCTGGCACGGTTCCAGATCATCAAGGCGCAGCAGTCAGGCTGATCCGTTGCGTTGAAATCCAGAAGACAATGTGTTGGCATGCTTCAGGGTCTTCAAGGGTGTCTACCAACGAGGCAGTTCCCTCAATGGAAATGAACCGTTGTACGGCATTTTGAGGAGGAAGCTTGGAGCGAGGGTGAATTCCAACATCGTTGATGGCTCTTTGGTTTACACTGGTCCTCCTCCTCCTCCTCCTCCTCCCCTTCCCCCTTCCCCTCATCCCCCTCCTCCTCCGCCTCTTCCTCCGCCTCCTCCTCTTCCAGTTCCTCCTCCTCCTGCCTCCACCGCCCGCTCCATGTCCCGAGCCCGTGGCAGGGTCATCAGCTCGTTGTTGTCGTTGTCGTTGTCGTCGTGCTCGTCGTCGTCGTCGTCGTCGTCGTCGTCCTTCGAGGTCGGCGGCACTGGCCGTAAAGCCTTCACAAGATGAAGGCAAATCCGCTCTAAATCGGTCCCCAAACCCCGCCTGGGGTCCATCTGTTGGAGTCTTTCACCGGGGATCAATTCTCTGCGGTCCCTGGGCCCAGGACGGCCCCCGGAGACAGGAGAAGGCAAACAACGTTGTCGAACCCAGGACCTCGACCCTGCCCCCCCTTCCTGCTGGCCGGAACCGATGCCCCTCCAAACTTTCAATCCCGATCCTCGTTTGTTCGGGTGGCTCCCGGGCATGACCGGAGCCTGCCGAACCGAAGACCTAATTCTCGAGGGCCCCAAAAAGAGCCCAGATGGCTCCAAGAGGCCACCAAAATTGTCAAATAGAGCTCTAAGCCGCCCCAAGATCGCCCTCAGACGCCCAAGATGTCCCCAAGATGGTCCAAGAGCCAAGGAGGCCTCCAAGCCGCCACAAGAGGCCTCCAAGCGACCCCCCAAAAGGACCCTAAAAGGCAACAATCATTGATTTCCCTGAGGTGTTCGAAAGATTTTGGCGTTCTCACCTGTTCGACTTTCCGACGCTGCAAGACGGCCTAAGATGCCCCCAAGACCCCTCAAGACGGCCCAAGGGGCCTCCAAGAGGGCCCCTAGACGGCCTAAGAGCGTCCCGACACGGCCCGAAGGGCGTCCAAGACGGCCCAAGAGGGCCCCATCACGTCGAAAAGGCGCCCAAGAGCGCGAACACGAAGCGAAAATCCGAGCCTTCCGCCCCACAGGAGGCCCCAAGAGGCACCCAAGAGGCCCCAAGAGGCCCTCAAGGAGCCCCATGGGGCCCCCAAAAGTCCCCAAAGAAGCCCTGAGAGGCCCCAGAACGGCCCCCAAGAGGCCTCAAAACTGCCTCCGAGGGGTCCCCCACGAGATCCCAACGAATATGCAGTAGGCTTTATGCCCACAGCCCAGGCACGGTGGCGGCATGGACCGAAACCATTAATTAGGTGCGCAGCAGGCATGTACACTCCACTGTGCCTGGCCAGGGCAATCCTGGGCCCTGGCACGGTGTATACGCCCCGCGGCTGAGGTCAGGAGGTCCTGTACATCATCGTGGGGCCCAGGACGGCGATGGCCAGGCACGGTGGTCGTGTAACGATGCCTGCTGCGGATAAAAAGAGGAGCTCGACTTGATCACTCGCAGCAGCTCCCGTGACTGGCCCCGCCCCCCCCCCCCAAGAAATGGCGGGCGTCCAAGGATTTGGGGACGCGCTAGCCCGGGCTGGCCAGGGCCACGTCGCGAGCCCCGACCAGCTACAAAATAGCTCCCGAGATGGGGCCAGCGGGGTGAGGCGGGGTCGACTCCACACGGCTGCCAAGCCCGAGTCGGCCAGAGGGGGTGAGAGGGCTCTCTCTCCATGGTCACGTCACGATTCGCGTCGGCGCCGTGTGAGCATGAACCACTCCTAATCATTCTTAGACAGCGCCAACACGAACCATGACGTGACAGGCCCCCGCCCCCCCCCCCTCCCCCCTGGCCACGCCCGTAATCGCCAGGGGATGGAACGCACGGTGTCAAGAAGGCTGCGAGAAGGAGGAGGAGGAGGAGGAAGCAGATCCTTACGAGGGTCCGCGCGGACTGCTCGCATCGGCGCTGGACCCCCTGGCGGCCCGGGGGGGGGCGCCGAGGAACCTGCATGGAGGCTCCAGAGTTTCTACTAAAGAGGCCCAGGGACACAAATAAATAGGCACAAAGCACAGGATTCTACAGATGTCCTATATGTTCTGCATGTTTTGTCTACCCCTCCACTTCCAAGCTCGACGAGTATCTGCGTCTGCGTGTTGTTCCCCCTCCTGATATACTCTCGCACTGTGCAGCATTCCTGCTCCGATCTCCTGCCACCTGGCCATCCCCTGGGCCCTGACCCCGCGGGCCGCCTCGCCCGCTGCGCTCCGCCCGCGGGCGGGGCCAGGGGCACTGCGCGCGCACGTTTCCCGGAGGAGGGGGGCCCGTGCCGGTCGACAGCTCATCGTATCTCCTGTGGCGCCGGAGAGAAGGAAGAGGGAATGGAGGAGAAGGGGAGCAGGGACCGAACCATAATAATAATCGTAGTAATGGTGCTAACAATAACAGTATTAATACGGATAAGGATCGTACTACGAATGAGAAGGATATCACTACTACGAATAATACGAGTACTAATGCCAATGCTACATACTAATACTGCAAATACTAAAAATGATCAGACTAGTAACCATACTAGAAATAATAAACACATAATATAAATAACAATAGTAGTAATACCAACACTAAGAACAACACCAACACAAACGAACAATACGAATAAGCGTACTGCGAAGTTCGGCACTGATGGCAATCATAGGAACAACGGTAAACATGTGAATCATAACAACAACACGAATCAGAAAAGCAAACAAAAAAGGAAGGGCGGAGGTGAGCTAGGAGGGGGAATATGATAAGGAGGAGGCAGACGAGAAGGGGGCGAAGGAACAGGAGGAAGCGGAGTATCGAAGTTGCAAGCGAGTCTGGTCTTGTTGGGGGCCTCCAGCGGCCTCCAGAGGCTTCCAGGGGACCTGCGGAAGCCTCTGAGGATCTCTGCACTGGGGGGGTCCAGAGGCCAGAGGATGCGGCATTAGGGGAATGCAGCGGCAGCAGCGGTAGCATCATGGGGGAGGAGCAGGATGATCACGAAGAGAAGCAGCGACATGAAAGGGAACTGCGATGGCGACGGGGGCAGAAGAGCGCAAAATCGAATCGAGAAGTCAAATCGGCGATCGAAATGAATCGGATCGGCGGAAATCGGCAGCCGAGTCGGGAGAAGTCGAATCGGCAGAAATCGGCAGGCTAGTAGGCCTCGAATTGAGAATTCTGAAATCCACATCAGAATCCGAAGCCGAATCGAATCGGAATCGGAAGCCGTAGAACTCTACTCGAATCGAATAGAATCGGAGGCGTCGAAATGAGCCCTGCGGGGGGGAGCAGGGGCAGCAGCAGCATCAGCAGCAGCAGCAATGGAAAAACTATAAACGACCGGGTGGTCCCAAAGGCAAGCGGTCAAGAATGGCGCCGGCTCTGCCCTGTGGGGGATGTCCTCGTGCACCCGTATGCGGGCGCTGTGTGCGTTCGCCCATGGCAGCAGACAGACCTTGCCACTCCAACCCGTTCATGCAGGAACAATTTGTCTCCAACCGTCCTGTGGTTGTGGGTTCTCGTTTGGAACAGACCCTTCTCCTCCTCCTCCTCCTGCTCCTCCTCCTCCTCCTCCTCCTCCTCCTCCTCCTCCTCCTCCTCCTCCCCCCCTCCTCCCACCCTTGCCTCTGTCCACCTGCACGTCCTCCCTTTCAACGGACCCAGTGTGGCGCTTCGTGTCCCCATAGGGAGCTCCTCCGAAGGCCCCAGTAGCTGTGACCACATGCGTCCCGCGACACCCAGTACGGCGTTTCGTGAGCCCACTGGGAGCTCCACCGGAATCTCCAGTGGCTATGACTACACGTCCCCATTCTCACTGTACGGCGTTTCGTGGCCCCAGAGAGAGCTCAAGGGCTGTGACCAAATGCGTCCCGCGCCACCCAGTGCGGGCTTTCGTGGCCCCAGAGGGAGCCCCAACGAAGGCCCAAATGTCTGTGACCACATGCGTCCCGCAACACCCAGTACGGCCTTTCGCGGCCCCAGGGGGAGCTCCAGCGAAGGCCCCAATGGCTGTGGCCGCAAGCGTCGAGCGCCACACTGTTACGGCGTTTCGTGGCCCCACAGGGAGCTCCAGCGAAGGCCCCAGTAGCTGTGACCAGAGCGTCCTGGGCCACCCAGAACGGCGTTTCGTGGCCCCTATGGGGAGCCCCACCGAGCCCAAGTGTCTGCGACCATATGCGCACCGCGCCACGCAGTACGGCGTTTCGTGGCCCCATAAGGAGCTCCACCGAAAGCCTCAATGGCTGTGACCACAAGCGTCTCGCGATAGCTAGTACGGTGTTCGTGGCCCCATACGGAGCTCCACCGAAAGCGCCAGCGGCTGTAATTACATCCACCCCGCGCCACCCAATTCGGCCTTTCGTGGCCCCAGAGGGAGCTCCAGCGAAGGCAACCAAGCTGTGACCACATGCGTCCTGCGCCACCCAGAACGGCGTTTCGTGAGCCTACTGGGAGCTCCACCGAAAGCTTCAGAAGATATGACTACACGTCCCGGTTCTCACTGTACGGCGTTTCGTGACCCCAGAGAGAGCTCAAGGGCTGTGACCACATGCGTCCCGCGACACCCAGTACGGCGTTTCGCGGCCCCAGGGGGAGCTCCAGCCAAGGCTCCAATAGCTGTGACCAGATGCATCCCGCGCCACGCAGTGCGGCCTTTCGTGGCCCCAGAGGGAGCCCCAGCGAAGGCCCAAATGTCTGTGACCAAATGCGTCCCGCGCCACCCAGTTCGGCCTTTCGCGGCCCCAGAGGGAGCTCCAGCGAAGGCCCCAATGGCTGTGACCGCAAGCGTCGAGCGCCACACTGTTACGGTGCTTCGTGGCCCCACAGGCAGCTCCAGCGAAGGCCCCAGTAGCTATGACCAGAGCGTCCTGGGCGACCCAGAACGGCGCTTTGTGGCCCCATGGGGAGCCCCACCGAGACCGAGTGTCTGTGACCACATGCGCACCGCGCCACCCTGTACGGCGCTTCGTGGCTCCATAAGGAGCTCCACCGAAAACCTCAATGGCTGTGACCACAAGCGTCCCGCGATACCTAGTACGGTGTTCGTGGCCCCATACGGAGCTCCACCGAAAGCGCCAGCGGCTGTAATCACATCCACCCCGCGCCACCCAGTTCGGCCTTTCGTGACCCCAGAGGGAGCTCCAGTGAAGGCAACGAAGCTGTGACCACATGCGTCACGCGCCACTCACTACGGCGCTTCGTGGCCCCATCGGTAGCTCCACCCAAGGCTCCAGTGGATGTATCCACATGCGCCCAGGCGCCACCCTGTACGGCGTTTCGTGGCCCCATAAGGAGCTCCACCGAAAGCCTCAAAGGCTGTGACCACAAGCGTACCGCGCTACCCAGTACAGCGCTTCGTGGCCCCATAAGGAGCTCCACCGAAAGCCACGGCGGTTTTGACCGCATGCGTCCCGCGCCATCACCGCATGCGTCCCGCGCCATCACCATAGAGAGCTCCACCGAAGGCCCCAGTGGCTGTGACATGCGTCCCACGCCACCTACTACGACGTTTCGTGGCCCCAGAGGGAGCTCCACACAAGGCCCCAGTGGCTGTGACCACATGCGTCGCGCGCCACCCAGTACAGCGCTTCTTGTCCCCATAGGGAACTCCACCGAAGGCCCCACTTGACGTGATTACATGCGTCTCCACCCGCCCAGTCCAGCACACCTCTCACGCGCTTCGTGGCCCCATGGGGAGCTACACTGAAGGTCCCAGTGGCGACGTTAGCATGGTCCCATAGGGAGCTCCACAGAAGGCCCCAATGGCGACGTTCGCATGGCGGCCCGCTCCATTTCGGTACACCCCTCACACGTTTCGTGGCCATACATGGAGTACCACCGAAGGCCCCAATGGCTGCGCCCGCATGCGTCCCCGCCACATTTCGGCACACCCTTTACACGCTTCGTGGCCCCATGAGGATATTATTCACCGAAGGCAATACCCACAACGGCGATACTCACAACTGCATACGGTTAGGCCCTTCGCCAGAATAACTCTAGATTCCCCGAGCGTCCCGCCCTCCACGGGGGGAAGTGGCAATCATAACCCGTCTGGAAAAACACTCGTCGGGAATCGGAGGCCTGGCCAACCTCGGCCGACGTCGCCATCCCGCCAAGCAGGCGCTGGAGCACCCCTCGGCGCGCGCGTGCGCGCAGCCTCGCCGCGGAAGACAAGCGACGAGCGTTAATCCAGGAACAAAAATGGCAGAAACATGCAATTTCGGAGGTACGCGCGGATTTCTTGGACGTGTGTGTGTGTGTGTGCGTGTGTGTGTGTGTGTGTGTGTGTGTGTGTGTGTGTGTGTGTGTGTGTCTGTGTTCATGCAGTTTCTTCTCCGAGTTCCGACTTCGGTCGCCTTGCCGAGTTCGCCCACCCTCGTCTGCAGGAGTCTCTCGGCTGGGCCCTCCGTACGCCCCTAGAGGAGAACAGCGAGGATGACACGGTAACGACTTCGGTGGCAACTCATGCATGGGAGCCTCCCGTGGCATCTACTTGGCTCTTGCGGATCAACGCTAAATTGGCGCCCTCCCGTCCAGTACTCATCAATTACCAGGCGCCAGCGCACGCTTATGCAACACCCGAAAGACAAAATTACGAGATCACACAAGGCTCCCATGATTCGCTACCAAAGGCGACGACTCGCCCCTCGCGGGATCCCCAGGATCACACTTGGCCCATTCATTTGCGTACCGGCTTCGCGATGCTGCTGGCGCTCGTTCGCTCTCAAAAAAACATAACGCAGGCCAACTGCGCTCAACCCTTCATGCTTGCGGCTTCATGCTTTCCGCGTTCCCACCCTCGCGCTTCGTGCACGCATCCAGAGCAATGATCATATACCCCGTCGCGTACACTTGAGCAACTTGCAATCTGGCCCGGTGGAGTCCCGCGAGGGACGAAACGTCAACCTGGCACCGCAGGAGGCGGATCGCAGTGCCCATCGTCGGGCTCGGCTGTCTTGGTGGGCAATCACAAAAAGTCCAAATTACCCCAGTGCGACCCTACCTAGGAGTTGGAGCCTCTACGAAAGCAACAATATGCTATGCTATGCTATGCTATGCTATGCTGCGCTGTGCTATGCTAAGCAATGCTATGCTATGCTATGCCATGCTGAGCTATGCTATGCTATGATATGCTATGCTATGCTGTGCTAATGCTGCGCTAATGCTGCGCTGCGCTTTGCTGCGCTGCGCTAAGCTAAGCTAAGGTAAGCTAAGCTAAGCTAAACTAGGCTAGGCTAAGCTAAGCTAAGCCAAGCCACGCCAAGCCAAGCTAAGCTAAGCTAAGCTAAACTAAGCTGAGATAAGCTAAACTAAGCTAAGCTAAGCTAA